AGGTCGACGTCACTACTCCACACATGCGCATAGATCACATGGCTATGCTGTGCATCTACATAGCCATGCAACATCATGGATCCTGGTCATGCGAGACGCCTTGACCCGGAAATGGCTATCTTGACCTGGAATTGGCTAGGCGTAAGTGTCCAGGTCCGCCAGGGATCCTGGTCACGCGAGACACCCTGACCTGGAAATGGCTATCCTGACCTGGAACTGGCTAGGCGTAAGTGTCCAGGTCCGCCGGGCATCCTGGTCACGCGAGATGCCCTGACCTGGAACTGGCTATCCTGACCTGGAACTGGCTAGGCGGAAGTGTCCGCTGGGCATATGCAAACACGCCCGACCATGGGGGCATGTTGTGAACCCTTCAGTCTGGAATGCAGACTCCAGAAAGACCTCATTCCTACCATCAGTCCTGGCCTGGCAAGGCCTGTCAGTCAGGCAAGGCTAGCCAACTGAGGAAGTTGTGGTTTAGAAGCTGCATGAAGCAAGAAGCAAGGGAGTTGCTTTACTGTGATCTCTCCTCTCTCTCTTTCTCCCTCCCCCTCTTGTTCTTTACACTCAGAAAGGCAAGAAGGGCCCTCAAAGGGGAATGCTGGACAAAGACAAACTGCAGAGAACTCTAATTAGAAGAAAAACACCCACAAGCTGTATGGATTCGGTGATGGACCAGCTCAGTAACTCTGAATACAGTTTAGTTTTGTGTAACCTCGCCTAGAACTTTGATCCTCAAGCCTCACAAAAACTGGGATTTCAGGTGTGTAACATCATGCTCAGCTGCACTACCATTGTTGTTACAGAGTCCGGAAAGAAGGGTGCTGTTCTGTGCTGTTGAAGACAGTCTCTCTCGCCACCCCTTACAACTAAGCAATTACAGAATCATTGGCAGGGAAGTTACTGGAAATGCACAGGAACAGTGTTGAGGGAAAGCCCTGCCCAGTTGATGAACAATAGCAACTCCACTGAGTACAACCAAGGAAGTAACAGTTTGTGTTGATAACACTGGGCTCTGGGTGCCATATAATAGCCAAGTCACACTTACCACCTGCTCTGCTGCAGCCAGTCCCAGATAATTGACCTGACGAGCAAGACTGCAGGTTATGTGGATACCAGGGGGAAAGCCCAGAGGGAAGAGGAAGCTGCTGGCCTGGGAGTCCGGTGTTTCTCATCTCAGAACTGAGTCATCTTTGGGTAAGGCTCCAGGAGAACACCTGCCTGAGTTTCTGAAACATGGAAAATCCCAGCTGCCTGGACCCCTGGTAGATTTTATCTGGGGTAATCCCTCTCACCAACACCCCCCCTTGCCATTTCTATCTCAAATATGTTTCGATCCTTTTCTTTCTGCTTCCGGGAGGAGGCACACAGATGGTACAGGCCCACACTTGAGTGTGGCTTAAATAAACCTACTACCCAGGGTTGCCATGAAAACTGCAGCTTTAAAAGTTTCCTGATTCCCGGACAGCCAGAACTGTTACACAGAGAAACTGTCTCAAAAACCAAACAACAACAACAAAAGTTTCCTGATTCCTGGACAGCCAGAACTGTTACACAGAGAAACTGTCTCAAAAACCAAACAACAACAAAAGTTTCCTAATTCAGCAGTAATAGTTACTTTGTATCCCTTCTGCCCACACCAAGAGCGGTTTTCTTTAGGCAGGCTTGGTGGTGCATGCCTTTAATCTCAGCACTCAAACCAGCCTGGTCTCCATAGGGAGTTCCAGCGCAGGCAGAGCTGTGTACAGAGACCCTGTCTCAAAAAAACCAGAAGATAAAAGAAATGAAAGCTGGAGGCTCAAAGACAAGACGAGCAGATACTCTTGTAGTCAGACATAAATCATGCTGATTGTTAATACTACATTATTCCCATGATGCATTGGGAAATCAAAGTCTTTGGGGAAGAGGGATCAGGGAGTATGCCTGCAAAGCTGAAACTTTAGGGAACTGACTGGAGCACCATGAGGGTGTAACCTGCAGCTTGGAAATCTCAGGCAGGATTGATTACCCCTCCCCCATTACATGGGTGGAGGTACAAGGCTGTTCTTAGTAGAGTGAATTTTCTGGCTAATTTTGATAATGAATGAGATCCTTACGCAGCAGCTAGTATTTAATAGGCATTTTGTGTTGGTATTATACTGACACAATAGGACTACTGTTTACCACATTGCACCAGTGAAGAGTTATAATACAAGTAATATTCCCATTAGTACTACTTACTATATTAACATACTTAGCTCAGGAAGAAAACTAACACTTTACTTTTCACAGTTTGTTTTCACAGATTCAAGAAAACTTATGGTCTGGGAAAAGGTGTTGGAGTCAAGTGAGTGACACCTTTGACTTTACAGATTGAAGCATGATCCTAATTAGTCTTATCAATAAAAACCAGGACTCAAATATTGGGATAATAACCTGAAAAATCAGAGAAGCAGGGGAGCAGCCACCAATGACTTCTTACCTCTCTGGATCCTCAGACTGAAAGGGGCACCGAGATCCTGTCTCCACCCGCTTTATATTCCTGACTCCACCTCCTGATTGTGCTGGGATCAAAGGCATGAGCCACCATGTCTGGCTTCTATGATTAACCAGCAGCTAGCTCCACACTCTGATATCCAGACAAGCTTTATTTGTCAGAATACAAACAAAATATACAACACTTCCCCCTTTAAGTCTAAATAAAATGTAACTCAAATTTTAAATGGTCTTTTTTTTTTTTTGGTTTTTCGAGACAGGGTCTCTCTGTGTAGCTTTGCGCCTCTCCTGGAACTCACTTGGTAGCCCAGGCTGGCCTCGAACTCACAGAGATCCGCCTGGCTCTGCCTCCCGAGTGCTGGGATTAAAGGCGTGTGCCACCACCGCCCGGCTAAATGGTCTTTTTAATAAAAAAAAAAAAAAAAAAAACCCAGAGCCAGATATTGAGGTAAATGCTGAAAGATCAGAGAGACAAAGGAACAAGCCACTGCCATGCCTTACCTCTAGGACTCCTCAGCCTGAAAAGGCCTCAGTTCCTGTCTCCTCACGCCTTATATACCTTTCTCTGCCCAGTCATCACTTCCTTCTTAGTGCTGGGATTAAAGGCATGTGTGCTTCCCAAGCAAAGGTATGAGATCTCAAGTGCTGGGATTAAACTCCTGTGAATCCAAAGTATTGGGATTAAGAGTGTGTGCCACCACTTCCTGGCTTTGTTTTCTCTCCTAAACTGAGTCAATCTCATGTAATCCAGGGTGGCTTTGAATTCACAGAGATCCAGACGGATCTCTGCCTCACAGTGCTAAGAGTAAAGGTGTATGCCACCACTGCCTGGCCTCTTTGTTTAATCTAGTGGCTTGTTCTGTTCTTTGATATTCAGGCAATTTTTAGGGAGAGGGGTAACACAATATATCACCACAGATGGGCACTGAAGAAACTCCATATGGAGTTTGCTTTCTTTATGGCAAAAGCTAGCCATTTGGGCAAAAAAACTGCCCTTGCCTCAATTGCTGACAGTTATTGTCCAAACTGGACTAGCAAGACACAAAAGAAATAGACTGCCAAACTATCAAGACAAGGTAGACAGTACTTCAAAGTTTCCTGCTTCTCAATAATGTCTGGCAGATATTCTAGACCTGTAGGCCAGAGCTGGATGCCCCAACCTTGCAAAAGAACTTAGGGTGACTGTCATTAGGTAACATTTCGCCCTTCTGGTGTATTTGATGGAGTTAAAGACTAAATAAACTTATAGTTTTCTTTAGTTATGATATAAAGTAAATTATATATAAAACTTTAGACTCACAAAGATAAGGTAGATAATAGAGTATTTTCTCTAATTTTGCCAAGTACAAATGGACTAGATATTGTAACTGTAATTCTTACTTGATAACTGTTTTTGTTATATATAGTTTTACTATGTTAAAGTTAAAACTTTCTTTTTTAATTAGACAAAAAGGGGGGAATGTTACGGAATAATCTTTCTGTATACTGTTGAAGATGTGTCTTTGCCAAGGTGCCTTCAGACTGGTTTAATAAAAAAAAAAAAAGCTGGGGGGGGTGTTGGTGTGTTTAGATGGAAAATTCTGCCTGCAGATCTATTTTAGAGTTATTTTAGGTATGTGTGAGTATATGGGCACAAGTGTGTGGTGGTAAGCATGTCTCACCAGGCAGAAGCCAGAAAGGGCTCAGGTCATCTCCTCTACCGCTTCTCATCTACTCCTTTAAAGTCTCTACCTGAACCAGTGGCTCCCCTTTTGCTCTTTCTCAGTTAAACTGGAAACCAGCAAGCCCTCCTGTCTCCCTCGGAGCTGAGGGTACAAGACTGCTTCCATGCCTTGGAAGCTTGATGTGTGGATATTGCTATCCAAACTCCCAGTCTTTATGAGTACCCAACAAGCACTGTTAATCACTCAGCCATCTCCCGTTTGGTTTTTGAGACAAGGTTTCACTTGGTAGCCCAAGCTGGTCTCGAACTATGTACCTCAGGCTTGCCTTCAGCAGAAAACTATCTGCCTACCTCATTCCTGATCTCACTGGGTTTACAGGGAACTGACACTATGCCAGCCAGTTTATTTAGCTTTTCAATTATCCGCTGGTCGTCCCATTTTCTTTTCCTGCTATCATTTTTTTTTTCTGAAAGAAGTAAATAAGGGAAAGAAGTAAAGAGAAGGAAAAGAAGAGAGGAAAAGAAGAATCATCTGTCTACCAATGTAAAACCAGAAACTTCCATCTACTAGATGACCCAAAGTACCAGGCCCTTGTCAAATATGGCCACCGAAGACCCCCGCCTGCCGACGCTTGCCCTTAACCAACATGGTGACCGCATGTGGCGTCGACTTCCGTCGCCCTCAGCCTACCAACCCACACTTCGCGACGGGGCGGCGAGCTTCAATGACGGCGGCAGGCTGAGCGCATGCGTGGCGGCTGTGGCGGCGGCAGGGCGGCGGGGCGGCGGGGAGGGACTGCCCGCAGTTGCTAAGCTGCGGCGGCCGTGTCGTGATGGTGTAGCGGGGCCTGCGGACGGGCGAGGCGGCCGGCACGGCCCACGCCTCCGGAGCGGCTCGGTGCGGCGGCGGCACGCTGAGGGGGCGTCGCCGCCGCTGGCCCCCGGCGCCACGGGAGGCCGCGCCCGCCATGGCGGCCCGGGTGGTGCTGGACGAGTTCACGGCGCCCGCCGAGAAGGCGGCGCTGCTGGAGCGGAGCCGCGGCCGCATCGAGGCTCTGTTCGGCGTGAGCCTGGCGGTGCTCGGCGCCCTCGGGGCGGAGGAGCCGCTGCCCGCGCGCATCTGGCTGCAGCTCCGCGGCGCGCAGGAGGCGGTGCACAGCGCCAAGGTGAGTCCGGCCTGGCCCGCCGGGCCGCGGGGCTTAGCCGTTTCTTTCCGGGAGCTTCGGGGGTCCCCGTTTGTAAAGGGCGCTGCGAAAGCGTCTGCCCCCACTAGTCCCTCGCGAAGATGAAAGTAGGCGAGGGGCGCCGAAGGCAGAGCGGTCAGGCCCGGAGCACGCGCGCGACGCGGTCGCACAGTGGGTCCTCCAGCCCCTTGGATGTGCGCGCGGCTCGACGCTCCTGGTTGGTTTTCAGCCGCCAGGCCGCCGCCACTGCAAGGTTCCCAGACCCTTTGGAGAGCTCAGGCCCTCTTGGAACTCAGGAGGGGAAAGCATCATGATAAGTAATGGCCAGACACTTCAAAGGGAGGATGTGTAGTTGCTGCGTTAAAAATTAACATTGCTTCTGTATTGTTGCTGCTCTACGATTGTATGATGCGTGTGGCACCTCTGACCTTCCGCCGAGTAAACGCAGCCTTTAAAAATCCAGCGAGGACGCTGTGATAGGAATCTTTCCTTCTATTAAACGAACAGCTGGAGAAACTGAAACTAAGTGGTGACTCACCTTGTGTCTAATCAGTATTTTAGACCTACCTACTCAACACCGCCATCAGCCCCTCCTCCTCGTCAGAAACAGTAGCAAAATTTGACCGTAAAGCCTTCTAAGCCTACAAAAATCTCATTGAGCCAGTGAAATAGCCAGGTAGTCGACAGGTTGCCTGGAGAACGGGCATTTTAGTTATGTTTCTATCTAAGAATCCTACAAGACATGCGTGGGAAAGGCCCAGATGGCCTAAGTTGTATTGTATAGTGTATAGCATCCTAAGTTACAGGGGAAGGGTAGGAAGTTGAGGGATAAGGTGGTACTTCCTCTCCTACGGTATTTGGAGGGTCAGATCTGGGAATTTAGGAGAAAGCCCCTCGCTGCCCCTCCCGGTTTGAAGTCACCAGCTTCTCAAAGCCTGGTATTTTGAGCTTTACTTCCTGAACACCTTCAGGTATCCACGTTTCTCCAGAGTTTCCCATCTGTAGGCGCCAAAATTCATGGGTAAGGTATTTGTTTCTAGAATCCGAATGGGTGATGCTTGTCAAACAACTTAGCTCTGGGGAGACCCTTTTTTTACATCCTTCATCACAAATTTCGCATTACCCTTGAGTGACTGTAGCTCCTGATGTAGTTAGATTTAATTAAAAAAAAAAGGATGTGTGTATGTTTAGCATGGGTCGTCTTCAAGGCACTTAGTTGTATGGTTCTTCACAGTGTGGGCTGAAATCAAGTTGGCTTTCCAGTGCTTAATTCCTTAAACGGGTTATTGATTACGAACAACAGATAGTCTAACTCCTCCTGTTCCCCTTCCTTCTCTTCAGCAGCCACTCTGACTATTCAGCCTAAAGCCATGCCTGAGGCCCACCAGTTCTAAATGTTCCGCCATGCACGCATTCCTCTTCTTCCCTGGCTTGGCTTCCGTTAGGACTTTTGTCCCAGTGGTGTCCCTTCTGGCATCCTTGCTTTTGTTGCATTGTTCCCTGCCTCCTAGTTCACTTTATACTAGACTCTTGTCCATCAGAAAGTCCTCCTTGCGTGCTGGAACCTGGTAGGGCTTCCTGTTGGTTGGAACTGACACTGTAAGACGCTGGCTGTGGTGACTGACTGGTCTTGAATTAGGAGTTCTTCTAGCCTCGCCTCCAAGCACTGAGATTACAGGCATGTGCCACCACGGGGTACTTACTAATCCTGCGCCATCTTGTTTCCTTCTGTATGTGGTAGCGGCTCTCTCTTAGACTTCCACAGCAGCCTAGTCTCTTCTGTTCTTGCTGTGTGTTGGACTGATCCTGTTTCTGCTCTTTCTCAGGACACCCCAGAGGTAGAAAGTGCTTCCCCTCTACCTTGCCTGTCCTGCCAAACCTTCCAACCCATTTTCTAATGTGTCTGCTAGTGCCACACGGTTTGGCACAGCCAATGGGAAAGGTGTAGTGGCATATGGTATTTTGGTAATGGTAATGTCCATTGTAATGTCACCTGCCCTGTTAATCTTTTCAACATGTATTACTCATAATGTAACCTTCCCATTTACAAGAAATCCTTTTTCCTCTCTCTTGAGATTCATGGTAAGAGTTGACTGCCACATTCAAGGGCAGTTTGTTTTACTTTTTAACTTTTTTGGGGGGAAAGGGAACCATTAACTTGGTATAAGGAGAAAAGGCACTGAGGGGGACACAGAAATGTCCGCCAGGTGGCTGTGGTGAAACGAACTGTAGCCCCAGAACTCTGGAGGCTGAGGCCTGAGGGCGGTGGTTTGAGGCCAGCCTGAGCTACACAGAGAAGCCCAGTTTTTATTTTTGATAGTGCTGGGGATCAAAGCCAGGGCCTTGTGTGCCCTAGCTAAGCACTCCTCATTAAGCTGTGCCCTCAGCCCAAGAAGAGTTCTGCACAGCTCCGTGTAGAGTGCTTTGGAGCTTCAGTCCCGAGTGCCAGAAAATGGGACTGGGGGGCCACCTGCTGGGTTTTCTGTTACAACTGTGGGAATGGACTGTGAATTAGTTAGGCCTCCAGCAGTCAGAGGGAGGCAAGGGGGAGCCACTGTTTGAGTGATAATGCCTTCGAAGCTCAAGAAAGGCATGGACTGCCCAGTTCTGCTGTGGAGGAGGCAGCACTTTAGGTGGACTCTGAAAAGCTGGGAAGATTACCAGGTACTTCATTGTTGACAAAGATGTGGAAGCCAGAAAACATAGGAGGTGGAATGTCATGACAGAGTATGTCACGGTCCTTTGTGAAATACGACTGTTCGGCTCAAGCAAGACCTTAGATATTCAGGAGGGAGTCAGGGAGAGTTTTTGCAGGGAAGGAATTTGCCTGAAATTTCTGGGTGGATAATTTGAAGGCAAGCGGAAAGCCAATAGTGAAAGGAATACAGTTTTTGTTTGTTTGTTTGTTTGTTTGTTTGTTTTTGTTGTTTTTTGGTTTTTTTTTCCTGGAACTTGCTTTGTAGACCAGGCTGGCCTCGAACTCACAGAGATCCGCCTGCCTCTGCCTCCCGAGGGCTGAGATTAAAGGTGTGCGCCACCACCGCCCGGCTAGGAATACTGTTTTAAGGTTGAACTGGACTTGGGTGGGGACAAGGGACTCGGGACCTGAGTGGAAGTAGGTATTTAAGGCAGTTTAAACCCTGGTAGCTGGAAGGAATGGTTCATAGTCTTGACCTGTTGGTGATGAGGCTGCCAGGTAGTCAAGTTTTAAAGTTTGTTTATACTTATTTTTAAGGACAAAGTCTTGCTTTATAGCTCTGGCTGGCTTCCAACTGGAGATACCCCTGCCTCTGCTCCTCAGTGCTGGGAGTGTGGGCATGTACCACAACTAGCTAGTGCTTAGCATTTGGGGAAAAGATCACCTGTGAGGGAGTCAATGTGTGGTTGTCCCTTACCCTCAAGGATCCTATAGCCTAATAGGAGAGGGACATGGAAAAAGGACAGCGTGATTCACGTAATAGTTGTCATGTGTTCCAAGTGTTGCTTAATGAGAAGGAACAACTCTGATCAGTGAGGCTCCAGAGGGTGAAGGAAGGGGAACGTGGACACAATCACAGGTATTTGAAAGGTGCAGTTTTAGTCAGTTCCTTGAGTGAAGAGAGCACGGAGGAAATTTCCAGAGGTAGAAAGGGTATCTGAGGCCTGCCGAAGGAGGGTGGGTGTGGGAAGTCATGAATGTCAATGATGTAGCTATGAAATGCCACAGTATTTATACCTGTCCACTGCTGGTTTGTGATGATACAAGTACAGATACTGTGAGTGATGTCCAGCAACTTCCATACTAATTTGGCATTACTCTGGGGGTGTAAGAGGTAAGATGTGTCCTGGCTAGTTTTATGTCAACTTGACACAAGCTACAGTCATCTGAGAGGAGGGAACCTCATTTGTGAAAATGCCCCCCATGAGATCAGGTTGCAGGCAAGCTTGTAGAGCATTTTCTTAATTAGTTATTGATGGGGTAGGGCACAGTCCACTGTGGATGGGATCATCCCTGGGCTGGTGGTTCTGAGTTCTATAAGAAAGCAGGCTGTGGCCGGGCGGTGGTGGCGCACGCCTTTAATCCCAGCACTCGGGAGGCAGAGCCAGGCGGATCTCTGTGAGTTCGAGGCCAGCCTGGGCTACCAAGTGAGTTCCAGGAAAAGGCGCAAAGCTACACAGAGAAACCCTGTCTCGAAAAACCAAAAAAAAAAAAAAAAAAAAAAAAAAAAAGAAAGCAGGCTGAGTAAGCCATGGGGAGCAAGCCAGTAAGCAGCACTCCTCCATGACATATCCATTAGTTCCTGCCTCCAGATTCCCATCTGGTTTGAGTTCCTGCCCTGGCTTCCCCAGTGGACTGTGATTCGACATATGTAAACCAATTAAACCCTTTTCTCCCCACATTGCTTTTGGTTGTGGTGTTTCGTCACAGCAATATTAACCCTAACTAAGATAGTATGAGAAGATAGAAAACCTGGAGAGGAGTTACTCATTGGGTGGGGTAAGGGAGAGCAAACATTTTTAATTCCATGTACAAGTATCAACAAAAATTTTGTGTAATATGTTTTTTTTCTTTTTTGGTCTTAAGAAGGTTATGTTGCCCAAAATAGCTTGGAGCCCTCAGTTTTCCTGCCTCAGCTTCTCACAGGTTGGGATTAACAGGCCACATCTGGCCACATTGATACTCTTTGTAAGATCATCCACACAAAACACAGCTGTTAAAGAAAAGGAGATCGTTGCTCTAAGCCTAATATGAATGAGTACACATTCTGTTCGCCCTGAATAACTTGTCTTTTTGTTGTTGCTGTTTGCTTTTCAAGACAGGGTTTCTCTGTGTAGCCCTGGCCGTCCTGGACCAGGCTGGCCTTGAACTCAGTGATTTGCCTGCCTCTGCCTCCCAAGTGCTGGGATTAAAGGGGTGTGCCACCACCAGGCTGAATAACATGTCTTAACATGGAAATAGTTACGTAAACTTTCATGGTCAGAACAAAAGACAGGCATAAATC